CAACGGAAGCGGACTCTGTGACAACCAGAAGAACACGACCTACAACAACGGAAGAGGACTCTGTGACAACGAGGAGAGCACGGCCTACAACAACGGAAGAGGACTCGGTGACAACGAGGAGAACAAGGCCTACACCAACGGAAGAGGACTCTGTGACAACCAGAAGAACAAGACCTGCGGCAACAGATGAAGAATCTGTGACAACCAGGAGAACACGATCTACGACAAAGGAAGAGGACTCTGTGACAACGAGGAGAACGAGACCTACGACAACAGATGAAGAATCTGTGACAACCAGGAGAACACGATCTACGACAAAGGAAGAGGACTCCATGACAACGAGGAGAACGAGACCTACGACAACAGATGAAGAATCTGTGACAACCAGGAGAACACGACCTACGACGACAGATGAGGACTCTATGACAACCAGAAAAACAAGGTCTACGACAACGGAAGAGGACTCTGTGACAACCAGGAGAACGAGACCTACGACAACGGAAGAGGACTCTGTGACAACGAGGAGAACAAGGTCTACGACAACGGAAGAGGACTCTGTGACAACGAGGAGAACAAGACCTACGACAACAGAAGAGGACTCTGTGACGAGGAGAACACGACCTACAACAACGGAAGCGGACTCTGTGACAACCAGAAGAACACGACCTACAACAACGGAAGAGGACTCTGTGACAACCAGACGAACAAGGTCTACGACAACGGAGGCGGACTCTGTGACAACGAGGAGAACGAGACCTACGACAACGGAAGGGGACACTGTGACGAGGAGAACACGACCTACAACAACGGACGCGGACTCTGTGACAGGCAGAAGAACACGACCTACAACAACGGAAGAGGACTCTGTGACAACGAGGAGAGCACGGCCTACGACAACGGAGGCGGACTCTGTGACAACGAGGAGGACAAGACCTACGACAACGGAAGAGGACTCTGTGACAACCAGAAGAGCAAGGCCTACACCAACGGAAGAGGACTCTGCGACAATCAGAACACGCCAAACAACAACAGATGAAGAATCTGTGACGAGAAGAACAAAGCCGACAACAACAGATGAAGAATCTGTGACAACCAGAAGAACAAGGCCTACGACAACGGAAGAGGACGCTGTGAGAACTAGACGAACAAGACCTACGACAACAGATGAAGAATCTGTGACAACCAGAAGAACACGACCTATGGCAAGGGAAGAGGACTCTGTGACAACCAGAGAAACAAGGTCTACGACAACGGAGGCGGACTCTGTAACAACCGGGAGAACAACATCCACGATAAACGAAGGGGACTCTGTGACAACGAGGAGAACAAGGCCTACGACAACAGATGAGGACTCTGTGACAACCAGAAGAACAAGGCCTACGACAACGGAAGCGGCTTCTGTGGCAACCGGGAGAACGAGGCCTCCGACAACAGATGAGGACTCTGTAACAACCAGGAGAACAAGGCCTACGTCAATAGCATCAGATAGGGACTCTGTCACAAGCAGAAGACCAAGGCTAACAACAACCCCGTCAAATGAAAGCTCTCCAACAAACAGCAGGGTTAGGCCCACGACTACGCAGACAGATGAAGCCTCGACCAGGAGTCACCGAGCCAAAGCCGAAAGAGCGACACCAGATGCCGACGCCCTTACGAACCCTAGAACAAGGAGTACGACTACCGCTCCAGACGACGGTTCTGTCACCAGTGGAAGAAGGCAACCTACCACTTATGCACTGGATGAAAAGCCGGTCACAAGCACACTAACAAGACCAACTACAACCCCAGCAGGTGAGGATTCTGCCATCACAAGCAAACGAACAAGATCTACAACACCGGCCTTAGGAGAAGATGGCGCCATAAACAGGCAAACACGACCTGCTACAGTATCATCTGGCAATCGCTTGGCAACAAGCAGAAGGCCGCAAAGAAGCCCAATGGCAACAACTGATGACTCAGCTACGTACCTGAGTACGCAGCTGACAACCCCACCGCCAGATTTAAGATCTACAGGTGGCTATACTGAGTCAGAGCATACAGCCACTTCGGTCGTGCGAAAACCGAGAAATATGAGTCGACCGAATGCATCTGCATTGGTTAACGAGGCATCCACTGTTGCAACACGAACACCGGTTCCAGGTAGGGCCTCAGGAAGCGATGATCCTTCGTTTACAACCTTCCCTTCTACAGCTGGTGTCTCCTCCCTCTCCACCGCTTCAAAAGCCGCCGCGACACACGGAGATGCGGATGTAGTGCCAACCGCTCGCAGGGATCGGCGCAGTATAACTGCAGTAGCTACTGCTGCAGGCCCAACGTCTTCGGCTCAAGATGGGGTGCAAAGAGAAGTGCGTTTTCCCGCTGGCGAAGAGGAGGATGCAGCAAAGTCATCTGCATCGGGCGAGAGTTCCGAACAAAGCCCTCCCAAACCCTCTGGGTCTGGAAGAGCGACGCGAAGTCCCAGGCAGAGTGGAGAAACTGTTTCTTCACGACGCCGGCGTTCAAATCCTGCGGCATCTGAGGAAAATCAGCTAGAAAGCGCGCAAACCAGCACAATCGCGCCGGAGTCCCCCGTTGGAATAACAACGGCCTTTTCCGGGCAGAATTCGAGGGGCGAAATTAGCAGCAGCAGAGGCAGGGCATTTCGAGGGTCGGAATTTGCTACTGAGGAGGCCGAAGAACTTTTAGAAGAAGAGGGTTCATGCCCACTCGGCCACTGCTCTTCTGACTTCTTAGGAACAGCACCGAGAACTGAAGCAGCAGGGGCGCTCCAATACGGCGACGGCGGCAATAACATAAGAGAATTCTTGGACAACGATTCCGATGGGGGAGAAAACCTTCGTTTGGGTGTACTGCAGCCAGAATATTTCATGTTCGACTCGGAAGACAGTGGTCAGCCAAGCGATTCTGTTGCCTTTGCTTCAAGCATGCCTTCCTTTACTTCCGTGAGCTCATAGTTACAAATGCTTCCTGAGGTGTCCCTGCTGGTTTGCAGAATTCCAGAACGCTATACATGGAATCCTTCCAAGACTTCCACGTGACAGTCCAGAGTTGGACCCAAGTCACAGAACCGTTGTGCCGCCTCGTCGACTTGGCGAGCGGCCATCCGCTAGGGAGGCTGCGAAACCTGAAGCCACTGGAGGAAGGGAACCTGGAGAAAGGGCTGGGAAGCCTTCGGAGGAAAAAGGATCCAAACCGGAGGCGAAGGCATCTGGGAATAAAGGGGGAAAGGCGGAGGAAGAAGATCCCTACGAAGAGTATCCGGACCACTGTGGGGATCTGGCAACATTCATCGAAGGTCGTCAGGTTATCGAATGGGTACGCGCAACCTTTGTTTGATTCCCAGCTTGCTGGTTGTAACCGGTTGTCCTTATAAACACAAAGTGCGCTATTAGTTTCAAAGTAAACTTATATAAACGGTGCACACAAGTCAGTTCACTGCACCCTTACTTTGGAAGCATATGACATTTTCGTCGTGCAGGATATTCCGATCTTCAATGGAATTGTGCATGTGCTTGGATCTTCTGTCTTGAGGCCCGATATCGAGGCGGTTGCCACCGATATCGCGTTTTGGCAGTGCACGCACCAGTTCTGCTTTGAATGTCCTTTCTTGACCCCTTTCCTACTCAAATTCCTTGATAAAATTGGAATAATTACAGGCAAAAGCCCCTTCGAGTTCTCTCCTCCGCCCGGCGTTCGTCCAGATTGGGTTAGCCACGCAAATCAGCCTTTCAACCCCGTGCAAAAAAGTTGCTGCATCTGTTAACTGGCGTCTATCAGCGGTATGGGTACACTACTTTGAAGGGTTACGCTTTCCAGTGAACTGCTCTTCTCAGGTATGCAGGGGAGCCTTCGACTACTATCCAGCGGGATGGACTAAGCAGACTTGGCTCAAGTATCTCGAGACAATGCATTCAGGTGACAAGCGGATTATGAAGAAAAACGCAGAACTCTTGGCCAGGGCGGCCCACGAACGTCACCAGATCGCTCTGTTATACGAAAGTGTTCGGTAAGTCAGCACCACTTTTCCTTTGCAGCTTATTGATAACCCTGATTTCAAAGAATATGCGTACTTCACCTCTGTGCCTCTGTTGGTAGACACCACAGTTAGTAAGCAAGTGCTCCGTTTCTTAGACAGTTTCGCAGAGACCTGGAAATCTGCCGTTTTTATATGGCTGTGAGTATAGTCGTTTCGTTCCTCCTGCAGATTGCAGTCAATTGAGGCGAGAAGACGATATGACCCTCTCCGCCCCATTAACGACCCGTTCTACGACCCGCAGTACAAAAACATGAAGAAGGCCTTTGACGAAAAGAATTTCGAGTGCAAAGGCGAAGCGGTCAACAGAGAGATGACCCACAAGCAAATGCACAAAATACTACCTGCAATTTACCCTTGGAAGGGCTAATTCTAGAAATCAATGCACAGGCACAAGCACTCGTAGACTACATAAAAGGGGTTAAGGGAGCCCTAAATTCCAAACCCCAAATCCTAGCACATAAAGGAAGCTACAGGCATTCCTCCGGTGGGAAAGGCGCAACAGAATTATGTTCGCGCTGTCCCGGCTGTCGTGCAGCAGTGCAAGTGGCAGCCTGCTGTGTTTCCCCTGGCTAGCTGACTCTTAATCATTTAAGCTTTTTTATTTGCATAGAAGTTCAAATGAACTATGCCTGCACCCATAAGTACCTTACATGGAGTCGACGAGCCGCACGACCAGCTAACAAACCGCTCAGCCCCTCACTGGTGATGCGATGCGTAAGGGCTCAGAACAACTAAACTACAAGTCCCCTGCCGTCTCTTCATGATGGCGTCTAGCGAAACCAGCGCCGCAATGTAGCGCCCATACTGAGAGGACGTGGTGCACCCGTTGGAGACTGGCGCTCGTACACGCCAACGAACAATACTACAAAAGACTTTTCCCCGATGCGGGAGAGATTTGATGTGGGAGCTCCAGGTGTGTACTAGCAACTCCTCTGCTGTGGTCACCTGCTTGGTTTCGTCTGCTTGTACCTAGAACACGGACTTGCAACAGAAGTGTTCTTACTGATGAACGACCTGCAGCTGAAGTAGGTGTAGCTTCAGCTGCAGAATTGAATCAAACCACTAAACCACATATCCCCAATTTCAGAAGCTATTTCAAATAAATAATCTCGAGTACTACCCTATCTGCGGCGCCACATGGGATCTGCCGCCACTTCCTGAGAACCTACTATTAGTGTTCGGGCAGAGCTCCCTCCACATATGAATAAACGAAGAAAAAGTCCTTTTCTGGAGTGATGTGCGGCTGCAAATAGATGGACTCTGGCGGCTGTAGAGAGTCTTGCCTCCGCCTTTGAGAGTACACGAGCGGCCAAGGCTGGGTAATTACCTCCTCCCACATCTCCGCGACAAACGAAAAAGTCACACCAAACCAAGAAAAAGAACGAGTTCTTCTCCTCCGTGACTTTTTTTCAAGGAATCACCTCTTCGTCCGCATCGGAAGTTTGCCTGTGGGGATGTCGGCGGCCCAAACGGATGGAGGGCGTGTGAGACAAAGTAGGTTCAGTATCTCTCATCCAGAATATATTTACCTTATTCAGGAGAATATCAACTTTTCAATACAGGATCTGCCTATAATATTTGGGGGAAAATTAAAAGCAGTACAGAAGGCAGTGTTTGGTTTGGAGCTGTTCGCCACTGGAATCTTATGCGCGGTTCCATTGCTAAAGGGGGTGGGGGCTGGAAAGTGTGGGGCCAAACGTCGACTGTACTCGAACGGGATCACTTCTATAGGAGATCTGCACGTTCGCCGCTACATCGACAGACAACACCACAAGTCGCGATGATGAGTTATGCGTCCTGCCGAACTTGAAGGGAGGCCCCGGACCTGCATGGTACGGCGGCTTTGATGATCAAGGAAGTCGGGCGAAAGCTCCACTTCCCTCGGCGTGGACGGGTCTGAGCGACGTATTTTAGAACATAATTTGCTTATTTTTTCACATTTATTTTCTTTTCGTGAGTGGTTGCGTGCTATTTCGGTGCTCAAGTGTCCGTTTCGGCGGAATCGATAAACTGCTGCCCCTCTGCTGTGAACTGGGGTGGGGGGATAATGTTCTCATTTGATATGCTCACAGTCACGTTCTCCAGTGACATTTGCCCAGAAGGTCTATTTTTAGGATGCGGAAGAGTAAATATACGGTATCTGCTCCGCTGGCATTTGTAGCAGACAGCTGGCCCACGGTGCTTGCTTGAGGAGTGGGGTACCATACCCCGTTCTTCCCTACATTCGAGGTGAATAGACCTTTGCGAAGTGCAGCCAGCAAGTCGTCGGTAACATCTTAACCTCAGGCTCAGGGGCCTTGCAGCAATTATTAGCATACTGTAGCGTTGCCGCCTCCTTTATGAATGCCTTGATTGAGGCCTCGTATGTACAATAAAAAGCTACGGGCTGCCCCTCATAGTGGCGATGCATTGTGACTGGAACTTACAAATTTTTGTAAGTTCCAGTCACAATGCATCGCAATTTTTGTGGCAATGAATATATATATATATATATATATATATATATAAGGGTGCACTGGTGGACCACTAAGCAGGCTGTAGGCGTCTCTCGTGTACGTCGTAGCCACTTCAAGGAAACTGCAATACTGCTGTATAAATGAGAACAATACAGTTAAGGAGAGTTGCTAGAGACAGCCAAATGTGGAGTTGTCCCACATTGATTAGTTCTACGATTCGTGCAGATGGAGGGCAGCAGCCATACACCCGACAAATTCGTAGTACGATGAATATATACTTATACAGATATTAATCGATGTACAGACGTCCATAATGATGAACAGGCTTGTACATACCAGCAAGAAAACAAATGCAGAATGCACGAAACATTACATCTGCAACCCACCCAAGTGGAATGCAGACGCTCCCCAAGAGTAGTTTTGCAAACAATAAATACTTGTTCAGCAAAACGAAAGGCTAACCATCAAAGAAGAGATCTTCTTTCCCCCTGAAGAGTCTCCTACGCTGGGGATGCAGCTACTGCTGCTGCATCTACTCTGCTGTGTTGGTACTACCCCTGCAAACAGACGGCACTCGCATATCCCGTGCAGTGATTCATGCACAAAGCCTTCACAAGCGGAGTTTGTGTCTGCACATTATTTGGATCTGAGCAATGCTAAAAAAGACCGGGGGTGTATGTACACCTAATTCGACTTGAGCGAATGAACCGTGAGTACTTACGTGCTCATAATTAGAGAAATATTCTCCCCCTTCAGCAAAATCCTTCCAACAAAAACACGCGTGTTCTTCTTCAACTGAATTTCCTCTGCATCGTCCAATACCATATTCATGTACTCGTCAAACCCCTGAAGCGAGGAAGCAAGCAAAAGCAAGCAAACAAATAAGCAAAACTACAGCTTATTGAAGCCATTATACACCGCATGCCCACGGAAGGAACCGGAGGGGTCCACGGAAATTGTGTTCATGAAGTTCCCCAGCACTTGTAATTGTCCATACAAATCTACGCATGCATGCATGAATGCATAACACCCAAATAATATACGTATATTCAAATGTGCATATAACTAAATATATACATATATATATTTATCGAAGGTTGAATGAAGTGCATCATAGATTTCCCCAGTGTACCCATACAGTATGAATAGTGTCTAAGATGCAAGCAATAATGGATAGGTTTCTACATATAACAAAAAGCTTTATTGAATAATGTACTAAAGCATTTATACCTACCATGATGCGGCCTTCAATCCGCAAGTCTGGCTGTTCATACAACCAAAGCTGGACCCGACTCTTGTTTGTGAAAAACCTGAAAATCAGGTTCTGCACAGGAGAAGCGAAAAGACCAGCAACACGCACAAATATTAAACGCCTTTAAAGCCGTTCGCCCTACCGACGGGGGCAGCAGTTTAAAGCCCCACTGATCAAAAGGCAACAAGCACCTCTGATGACTCGTCACAAAACGGCCTCCCTAGGGATGTTTGGACAAGTCTTTGCAGATAGCTCCAGTGCGGGGTGTATTAGGCCTTACAATCGGTTGGGTCATAATCTTCTGGAGCTTCTTGTTACTCATTTGGTGCGACATTTTCGCAAAAAACCCTGCGGGTGTAGAAGGAGGGCGCGCCGGCCAGGGGAAGGAGACCTCCTAGAGAAGGAAGCAGATGAAACAGCGGGCCGCTATAACGCCCGTCTGTCTGCAATGTAATTAATATTAACAATAATAACAGTCCAGCAAATGGAGCTGCTCTCGAGCAGTGCAGAGGTGGGAGGATCTGCTGGAACGACCGGCGGAGATTTGGCAAGGAGTTCCCGCAGGGGCCCCTCTCTATGTTTTAGAAGGGGGAGAATAAACCAATTTTGAGAGCCAAAGAACTACACCAATTCAACAAAGGACGCCGCGAAGATATTCATGAACGAGTGGTCAGTCAGGAAATGCCGCATGCAGAGGCGGCACCCACGATAGGATGGCCAGAGGAAGAGAGGCTGAACAAGTACAAGCGAACTGGGAGGTAATTTCCCCTAGAATTACAATCACGAACATAAAAAGGCAGTACAACTCTAGAAAATACCTTTTCTTTTGCAGAAAGAAGCCCGGGAAGAGCGCTGTGGACGAGGGCTTGGTGGGGTGCGCTGCAGTGTAGACGGCGGCCGCAGTTGCTTGAGATTCATTTCGGGCATTACTCAGACATGAGGTATTCTCGTAACTAATTTTCAAATTAATTAGGAGAGCTCGAAACCCACAAAGGCCAGACAAAGTCATAGCAGCCGACTTCTTCTTGAGGCCGAAACCCTACTCAGTTCACGCCCTGCAGTGAGCAGTACTGAAATGGAGTGTATGCAAGTCTCATAGCCTAGAACGCGCGTTTCGTTATAGGTTTTGCCGCCTCATTTTAATTCACGTTTCTGTCCCCTCCTGGACTTCTCCGATTCACCTGTGAGGCGGTCGTGTGAGAATGCTCCGTTAGTGCTGGCTCGCGTTGAGGTGTACATGCAGACACCCGCTGGGAGCGGGAAGCGAAAGCACATCTATCGGTTCGCCCGTTTTTTTTTCTGCTGTGGCTAAGCCAGCAGACATAAACCCGTAGGAGAAGATGGAGAATTACCTCAACCGCGCAAATGCGGTTTTCTGCTCGCTGATGGTCAGTTTGGGTGTTTTGGCACTTGGAAACATCGCGTCTTCTTTTTTCCTCGTTGGCCCCATCTCCGGCTCAGTCTCTGCGCGAGAAGTCTACGGCTTTGGATACAACTACGCCTTAAGTGTGAGTCACCAGATTCTTCACCGCGGCTGCAGTTGGCAATTCGAGTCGACAGGCTCAGTTGACGCTTCGATGCCTCTGCATCTGCATGCGATGCTTGCCTCGCACAAACCTTATGAATGGGTGAAAAGAGATGGGGGAGTTTGTATTAATTCGTAGGGTTGCAATAATTTCCTGAACTACCGCTATCTGTGCCCCTTAGTCAGGGACTGTCCGGAGTGTATGGTGTAAATGGATATTTTTCTGATTGTATGTTGACCGATTCTGCTGCCTCTTTTTCAGGGAGACCAGGCCGTGTTGTCTTTCGACATAAAAGCGGATCTACGGGGTCTTTTTCAGTGGAACGCGAAGCAACTGTTTGTGTTTGTGGTTGCGGAGTATGAGAGTCCACAGCACCCGACAAACCAAGTGGTTGTATTTGACAGAATTATAACAAACGAAAGCGAAGCAGTTCTGGATTTAGCTAATGTCCCTGCGAAGTATCATCTGCGAGACAAAGGCAAGGGATTGAGGGGCAGAGAAATAACACTGAAACTGCAAGTTGTATACCACCCCATAGTTGGTCGTATATACACCCAAACCGTTGCATCCTCCACTTTCCGCATGCCAGCGCAATACGATCGTATCTCACAACAAAAACAGCAAGAGCAGCAGCGGCAGCAGGCAAGGGAGGCTGCAGAAGCAGCAGCAGCAAGGCCAGAAGATCTCCAATAGGCAGACTTCGGTGCATTTGCAATGCTTTCCCTCTAAACTTTAAGCCTATCAATGCGTATCTTGTTTTGGCGGCTCGAGATATGAGCAGTAGGGATCAGGTGTACAGACAGCCCAGCTTTGCTATTCAAGAGGTGCACACTTACTCTCAAAACCTGAACCTGAACCACTAGACGTACGCTTGCTCGATGCATCAAAATAGAACAGATTTTCCTGTTCATTAGCGGGTGACTGACTGGAGAGTGGCCGCATCTACCTTATTTCTAAAGCTTGGGAATCGCTAGCAGGGATTCAGACGAAGAAACCTGCGAATTCGCATATCTGCATGCAGCGTCATTGGGTATATGTAGAGCTACAGGGGGCTGCAGTCTGAAGTTGAAGAAGTGGAGTGACGAAAAGCGTTAGCAGCACCTACAAATATACTCTTCTACGCCTGTACAGGCACGCGGTGTATGAACGCTGGGTTCCTTAAGGCGAAGCCACGAGTTGTTTATACATCCGGCGTGTGAACATCTGGTAGTTGCGCACAGCGGATGCGTCGCCTCGTCTTTTTTTTGAATTTCTGATGTCCTCCAAGATCAAGTAATGCTAGGACAAGGATTTCTACAAATCTACCGCTGCACACTGCTGTTTTTCCCGTAGTCACACTTCCTGTGGAGGGGATTAGTTTAGGGAGACGGAAGGAGCGAAGCGTACGTCAGATTCTCCAACTCAGCGAAATTATAGCCCCAACTAAAGAGGGAAGTCGCTGTAGCGAGCCAAAGAGAGGACAAAGCGGAGAGTGTACACGGGGAACAAGGGTTGCATTTCAGCAGCCCTGGTCGGCACGCATCCTCTACTGCGTGAAGGAGAATAATAGTACTTTTAACGAGTTGCCACTCCTGTTGCCACCACCGAGGAACGGTATACTTCTTCGTTCCTTCAGACAAGGAAATTTCTGTTGTTTTCAGGGCGTTATCTGCGTCGATGAAAGACTTAATATTTCATAATTAAATTTACTTTTTGAACAATATATAAGGGAGCATCCCTTATTGTTTTTGTAATGTGGTTTTTGCTTCCAAAGTGTTCGCATTTCTCTCTGCATTTTTTTGCGTGTATTCGAATGTAATCTTTAAGTCATACTCATTCTTATGTATTTTCCTGCTCAAATTCACAATGGTTCTGTTGGTAGCTGGGGCATCCTCCACGTTACTGGAGGACCGTTGTGAGCTGCAGTGGAGTACGAGGACTTCTGAAGTTCCGTTTCAGACAAAAACGCCATAACCTAATTTCCACTCGAAGCCTCCTGTGCGCATTGCTGCCCAAGCGGTCGTTTCTGCTACGGCGAGGAGACGACAGATTCTGTTTTGTGTTGCAGCAAGTTTTGCCGCAACTCCTGTTGCAGGGCAACCCATGCCAGCATAAGACCCAAACCCCTTTTTGGGCAAGCAAGAGCACTCCAGACAACTGCTAAAGATGTAGATTTTGGCGCATTCCCGCCATGCTCCACAAAAGTCGAAATGTGCATAATACTAACTTCAGACAAACGAGGCTGCATCCAGCCCGTCTGCTAGCAGTGTTTGTGTTCGCGAAAGCCCTCAAGGATTTAATTGTGTAAACGTTTTCGAGCTTGCTATATTAAATTAAGATAATTTTGCATTTAAAAATATGAAATTGCGCCGTCTTTGCCTTCTTGTCGCACAACATTGCTGTGGCGAGTCGGCGGTGACACCGCGAGTGGTAGGCGAGCAGAGGAATCGTTAAAACCTCCTCTAAAGGCGTGTCTGAGTCTACACAACTACTCATTAAATTAACTTGGAATTATTTATCCATATTAGAGGGTTGAACTCCGAGTTTCTGTGGTTTTTTGGCAATCCGAAACAGCACCGGTGGTCCGGTCGCTGCCGAAGCTGACTCGAGAGCCGGGGCCTTGGCTGTTTGATTACCTGGCTGTTGAACATCGGATTCGTTGAGGTTCAAACTGATAAGCACATTTTTATAATGTACTGTATATTTTTCTCTTTTCTTATTTTGAAGTATATCTCTTTCTGACGGTTCCCAGGAAGTTCTCAGGTTCAAGCCAAGTGACCTGCGATTCGGCTTTCTTTTTGCAGCTGTCGAGTTTGAGTGCAGTTTTGTGGTTGCAGTCACGGCTTTGACGGACAAACCAGAGAAAGGGAATTCGTAATATCTCACTGTTGTCGCTGTCCTCTCTTTTATCCTTTTTCTTGTCTTGTTTCGCTCTTCGGGGCAATATGGCTCCCTCGGCGTTTTCTGTCGCTTTAACCCAGGCACCACTGCGCCTCTATCGGCCGTCTGGGCGATCTGTTTTATTTTTTGCTTTTGTTTGCCTACCGGTTTTCTTGCTCGGGCCGGTGGGTGAGCATAAAGAATGGTTGCTGCCGGCCGCTCAAATGGCGGCTGCACGTCGGGAGAGGCCCCCCCGTAGTATCTTGAGTCCGGCCTCCTCCGAGGAAGAATTGCAAAGTCCCGAATATGCAGTGGGTGGAGAAGAAACTCAGAGACGGGGTTCGCAAAGGAAGCGTAAAGGGTCCTCTTCCAGCACAAAACGGCGATCGGATATTATGCAGTGGCCCGTTGAGTCAACCGAGCAGCCTCCGCAGCCACCGCAAGCACCTGAAGAAGAGCAGCCGCGCAAGTACCTACTCCAAGCCGAAGAAGAAACTTTCGCGAAGTCACAAGCTGTAGAGGTTGCAGGAGCCGCAGCAGCGCCTGCAGAGACAGGCGTTCTTCAAACTCTTCGAGCCATCTTCACCCCCCAGGGAACTTCTATTTCAGAACGCATGAAACCCCTGGCAACGCAAATATGCGACTGGTATACGAAAGGGCGGTTTGGTAGCAAAAGCCCAACAAAATTGCTCCTCTTTCTGGCCAGTGCACAGACAGCCAAAGTGGGAGTGCCCGGAAGACTCCTCCGTTTCGGTGAGTTCTCTCATACTCTTTCCCTGAATATCATACACTTGCATATGTATTAAAAAGATATATATAGGCATGTATATGCTTAGGTTCCAAAGTGTGATACAGATATGCTAGCAGCATCGTGATGCACGTGTACTTTTGTACAAACTCACAAGAATGTATACAGTGGCCACACGTACGTAAATACAAGTATATATGTACACATTACATCTCTAGATAAGTATACATTTATTTATTTCCTTGTCCAGAGGTCCGGTTAAACATATGTGGCTGTCGTTTGCACGCATGTCGAATAAAGATCCATGCATGCGTCACCTATATATACAGAAAAACAAAAATATATTCTCATTTATTTGCTTACCTTCAAGTTCTGAATTATATATGTCCGATTGTAAACGCAGGGCGTAGGCGCGAGACTGGTGTCTCCGAAACTGACGTCCCGTTGACAGCAGAAGGCGAAGCCAAAGCAAAAAGAGTCGATGTGAAGTTCTACCACTTAATACATCAAATACATCAGTGTGAAATGGAGGCGTTGAAACGCCCACAGCCTTCCTTTTGTTTGGATGCTTTCGTATCCTCTCCTCTCACCTCCGCTCTACAAACAGCCAGTTACGCAACTGCCGCCTCGGGTAAGTGGTTTTTGTGCAAAGGTCCAAAAGAATCGGTGACAAAGGAAACGAGGGTAACATGGCAGGCTGACCCTATGCTCAGGGAAGAAATGAGAACGGCGGAGAATGCAGGAACCGAAGTGGGTGCGCTGCAAACGAAACTTGTGGATTTGAATGCAAAGGGCAATCTACCCAGCACCGCTGTGGACTTCACCTTGGTACCTCCACAAGATGCGTGGTGGCTGCCCTATGCGGCAGATGACCTTCGAGCTATACTTAAACAAGGCGGTGCTGCAGCTGTACGGACAAGCACCACCAGCAGCACCAGCACTGGTAGTGGCAGCAGCAGTGGCAGTAATCCTTTTACTGTGGGCGACGCGGATCCCTGGCCCGTCACCATAGGGGGGAAGTCTCTCAGGGATACAAGCCAGCGCATACAGGAACCGTTACAAGGAAGACCTATTCCCCCTCCACAGACGCCTTTGCCTAGGGAACCTGCAGAAGTGCTGAAGCTCCGCAAAGATGTGCTTCTTTTCACGTTATGCAAGGCTCAAAACTTCTTTTCCGGTGCTCTTGTCACGCATCCACGTATGATGAAAGAGCTGCTTGGAGTCTCGAAAGTGAAGCCAGGCGAGATAGGGGGAGCAGTACTGACGTGTGAAGGCGGCAAAGGGTATTTGACTTTGCTGACGGGCCCAACCCCGAGCCCCAGGGCTTCTTATGAAGGCGCCGAAAGAAAATCCACTTCATCTTCCGAAGGCTCTGATACAGAGGCTTAATTGTCTTTTCAAAGTGCTGAACAAAACGACAACATAAGCGGGGCCAACAGGGAAATGCCGCTCTGTTGTTGGCTGTCTTGAACTTTGCACGGAACTTACACGTACACGTAAATATGCGCGCATATGGAATTTATATAAACATATTGTGAACGCATATATATATGCATGTATATTTATAAGCATATACGTGTACATTCGTTCCAGCGTGTGGTGTGGGAGTATCTGTAGTGTATTGAGGATTGAGTCCGTTGCTCGCCTTCAAATGAAGTGCCAAAATGCAGATGGACATATTTAAGTTGCATTTTGCGGTTTTCTGGGAAAATTTATTTTGTTCAACTCCAACGTTTTTACAAATATTTTTAATCTCAACGTGTATTCTATTTTAGAATAGGTTGTCTTTCTGTGGTTTATTTGTCAACCGGCTTTGTTTTTCGCTAGCCGACCGACCATCTCTTGGGTTTGGATTTTCTGGGTTCAATTTGTTTTCACAGTATAACTTCCTTTAAAATAAATACCGACATTACTTCATTGCATCTCTTACTCCTAGTCTACACTTAATTTCTCAGAGGTACGCACATCTGAATCAAGTACAGCCACTTCTCATTGCAGTGGTGTCTGTAAGATATATTTTATGTGTCAGTTTTAGCTCTGGATTATTTATTTTTGTTTCCGCGACCCCTCTTCTCGTGAGCTGTGAAGAGTTCTCAACCAACATGCCGAAGCCTAGCCGAAGCAAAACAGTGGTGGGCGTGCCTCAGATTTTGCTGCTCTCGCCCTTCCTCCAGCTCATGCGTGAGTACGTCCGTATAAAAAGCAGCCCTGTCTGGCCTTGTCTGCAGCTGAATCACGCGCAGCAGCGAGCTTCAGCCGGAGAGGTTACAGTCAGCTAAAGGAAGACCCAGGAAGCCGCAGGGGGCTGTTAGCAGCGTGGAGGTCTCCTTCTTCCCAATGTAACTGTCACTGCAGTCCTTGTTAATGCTGCTGTTGCTGATCGGGGCAGGCGTGTCGCCGGCTTCTGCTTGGAGGAAAGGCTAACGATGTAGTGCTGAGCCAAAAGGCTGCTATGCATTTTTTTCTGAACACGGATCGAACGACCCAACACCAGCGGCAGAAAAAGCAGCAGCAGCACAAACAAAGCCCGTCATTTTAACGACATTTAATGAACGCTATGGCGAATCAAATTCCCAAAGCACTTGTGGCTAAAAATCGGCGAAAGGGATGTTTTTTTTTGGCTTACTGAAGAGTTCTCAACCAACATGCCGAAAAACAGCTTGTCACCGTTAGTTGAATTAAATAAGCAGCACCAGCATCTAGTAACCAACAACGTTAGCGTAGCGACGAGCGGCAGGAGCACCAGGCACATGTTGAGGGACCGGCCATCTATGCTGTGAAGATTGTGCACTCAAATTGCGAGTTAGTAGCCAAGCATGAGCAGCAGCTACTGCTGCGCAGCCCTGAGCAACACACATTAGTGAAGGCCCCATGGTTCGCCACATTAAATAGAGCATAAAGGTGCTGCTGTGTGCTCATCACATTTTGCCTCACTGTGCAACATTGCCTCTGTTGCTAGCTTACAGCCGCCATGTGATGCTCAGATATAATATTTCTCCTCATCAATGAGACACTACGGACTGTACCGTTTACACATCATATTACGCTTTATTAGAAAGTTTCTTGGAGGCACACAAAGAGCCGATTGCTTGTCTACAAAGAGTGTCGAGCCGGGTGCATCGGTGCTCGACCGAAGTTTGGGCGAACTGGGGAGGAAAAAGCAACATTTGTGGTGCCCTCGTGGGAAATCAGCATATTTATTTTAATAATTTATTTTGAATAACAAGAAAACCCTTGAAACTGCGGTGAAATGAGGTTTTTCTTGGGATGACCCCAGTTGGAATGACAGGGCGATGTCCATCCCGCATCGCTTCCCAACCAACCGGCGGCTCGAAGTATAAGGGACGAAAACCTTGGCTTTGCTCCTCGTTTCCGTCCATATGTTTTTTCATATAATTAACCACCATTTATTGCATTTATTTCTTGAGACTATATATCCTTTAACAGCAATTGAACCAAAGAAAAGTCGGGGAGGCTGAAACTGACTCGGACCAGTGGTACACTGCGTGCTGTGTGGTGTCTTCCTCTAACCCTTCCGCGTTCCTTTTTCTTTTTGGCTAATAAAGACAGCTTCAAACATAAAGCATATTTAAACTGGTGTATTACACAAAATCTCCCCTTTAGAGCACCCGCTGTAGAACTAACGCTCCGCTTCTCCCCGACTGCAGCGCATTTCACGACATAGTACTTTTTTCCCTGCATGTTCTTCCTTCCTCGTTATTCACAAAGGTTTTGCACATTTGCATATTACCCTCCATTCTTTTACCATGTCTATCGTGTCATCTGGTAGCAAAGCGGCCCTAAAGCGGGCCCCTTGCCTCCCTCAAGCCTGTGCTCCACGGAGTTATCGACTTGCGCGCCTTGGTTTGATTGTATTTGCATTATTTGTCTTCGTTTGTGAAGTGGGCAAAGACAACTCACTTCCAGTATGTACTTCAGGTATATGTACAGCTGAAGCCGCAGGCCAATTTCCAGGAAAGAACTGCTGCATGCGTTTGCGTGGAGTTACCTCTGAAGGGGAAAAGGAAAGCCCACTGCTGACTGAACAAGAGGAAGATGAGAGGATGTTGCAGAAAAAACATTTAGATTCACTTCTTGGTTTGAATGGTCCCCAGGATATGAACTGCAACCTTATGTGCAGTTCCTCTTTGGGCCAGAGGAGGGAACACTTAAGAACAGTTGCAAAAAAATTGACCAGATGGCATGCAAGTAGAAATCGTGGCCCACACAAAAATACCAAACTTATTCTATTTTTGAGACACGCAGAAAGCACAGCAAATAAGGAATTACAATCGTTTTGGGGCCTCGCCGGATATGCCTGTGAGTTGTTTGCTGTTGGGTTATGCACACATAAAGACATTAACCAGGTGTTTGCTGTTGGGTAATGTACCAAAGACATATGAATAAGTGCGCACGCCTACGTACACCTTTTATATGTATGACAATATTGTTAGTATAGGCACTATATTTACTTGAATGTATTCACGCATATTTACTATTACAGTAAACCCTTGCCGCACACGCTGCGAGCATGCAGGTTGTCTGTAGCGGCGTATGTGATAATGAGGTTTTAGGGTTTCTGGCGACTCGTTCAGGGTTTACTTCCAGGAGTTGGCTTGCAGGGAGTGGAGGTCTTGTCTCTTTAGGGTTTAGGTTTTAACGTATAGGGTTTGTGGGCCTTCTGCATTTCAGGGAGCAAGATAAGGGGAAAGAACTGGGGAGACGCCGACCCTCCGCTCTCGGAGACGGGCCGCCAGCAGTGTGCAGAAGCAGCGGCAGAGCTAAGGTATCTGCTCATGTTGTTAGACAGCTTTCAGCAGGATCAGCAACTGTCCCTTAAGAGCCCCGAAGCTTCAGAAGAAGTGAATGCATCTGCAGGCGAAGGCACCGAATGGAGCCAGGCACCAGAAACAGCAACAGAAACGGCAACAACCACAGCAGTAGCAGAACAAGAAACAGCAGCGGTGACAAACAGCTTCTGCTTCGACGCCTTTCTCGTTTCTCCTTTGACGAGAGCACTTCAGACCGCCAGTCTGTCTTTCCACGACGTGGGCAGTGCTTTAAAATGCCCGGAAGTCATAACGGAGCAGCCGCAGCCGCAGCAGCAGCACCATCACCGGGAGCACCGACACCACCAGGTGACGTGGCTTGTAGAGCCTTTGCTGAGGGAGAAGTTCTCAAATATGACAGATTCAGGCACAGAGGCTGCTGAACTCCGCCAACTTCTGAAACTGCTATGCGGACGCCACGAGATGTTTCCGGCGCTCTTCAACTTTGCGTTAATTCCTGATGGACAAAAGTGGTGGCTGCCATACTTAAAGAAAACCTTAAGCACGTTGCAGAAGCAGCTGCGGCGGCGCCTGCGGAAGCAACTGCTGAAGGGGGACGCGCCCGCAGAGGAAGAGGAGGAGGGAAACGGCGACGACAGTGACACGCTTAAGTTGGTGGACTACACCGGCTTATCTGACAGCGACTCTGGTGAGTCTGTAATATATGAAGCCCCAATAACCAAAGCTGCTGAAGAGCGGCCAGCAGAAGAGAAACATGTATTTGCTGTTGGAGGTGCAGTAGGAGGCCCGCCATCTCCTGCTGAGAAGTCGGTGCTGCGGACGCTGCAGTGGGCGGGGAAGAGGCTGCAGAGCCCTAAGGCGTTTAAACTGCGGCAAAAGCTGTGGGATGATGATGCTGCTGTTGCTGCAGCTGAAGGAAGGGCTTCCAGCGAAACTTGGAGGCATGTGGAGGAGCGCGAGCAGCTGCTGCTGCTGTTGCTGTGTTCAACAAAAGCATCTACTTTCGTCTTTGTTTCTCATTCAGATTTCCTCAGGGGCCTAGATAAACTGGACAGATTAGGCAATGCCCAACTGCGGCCGCTGCTGCTTCACTGCAGCCCAAAACCAAAAGTCACCCCCTTGTAGCTGTAAACCCTAAACCCTATACCCTTAATCCTTAAAGCTGCACGATAGATCCTATCGACCAAACTCTTTCGCTTTGTTTTACACAGGCCCCACTCAGCAGAGGCGAGATTGAGACTTCCGGAACGGACACCTTGGTGCATGTGTCTCAACAAAATTTTGTATGCATGCGTGTATTTTTCTGCATACCCTTCTTGATGGTATACGTATTTTAAAAAGCATATATCCAAGGTTATGTCTGAATATCCATTTCTAAATAGGTGAATACCATATATATATATAATATATATATATATATATATTGTACAAATTTGCATATGTAAAATATATAAGCGCACACGCGCTGGAACATATTGCAGCTTTTCCTTTTTCCTGCGTTATCTGCAGATAGTGCAGAAAAACAGGGAAAGCTGCAATATGTTTCAACGCGCTGATGAACCGCAGCCCTTGAATTGTTTTTTGTAGTATTATTTTATTGCTAAGGCGCTGTTTTTAATCCTTTGAGTACAGCACAAACTCCGTGACGGTCTCTAAGGGAGCCGTTTGAATTTCTCTCAACCATTCACTCTGACGGAGTTTCCTATCTACGCGCTCTTCCTAATGTAGCCGCCCTATGTACGTCTCTATTTGCACAATATATATATATATATATATATATATATATATATATTTACATTGCATTTTTTATTTCAAGTACAAATATGATGATTATGAATGTGTGAACGGGATGCAGATAATCAACTCAGCACGTGACTGCCCGACAACAAAAACGTAATTCCAACTATCCGTATTATTAAAAAGTCTTTATTATTATAAATCCGCAGACGAACAAAAAAAATTGTCTCCCCGAGGTCTTCGGGTAAAAGGTTAAGTGCAGCGCAGCTGCGGCATTGCACTGGCTGCGATATATTGGTGTTTTTATTGATTTTTCTTTCTGTTCTCGCCATTTCTTCCCGTCTCTTTGACAGGAGAGACGCCGGATGGTAGTTACGTGCCTTTATAGTGGCACCAGCCTCGGGTTTTCATCGCAAATGAGCGAAAATAACCGAAATTCGGCGTTTCTGAATTTCGATGATCCACCTGTTAGAGCCTTCAGGAAGAGGGAGTGGGTAACCAGGAAAGCTGCATGCATTCCTTCTGCTTTGCAGAGGAGCGAGAGGAGTATTTTCGCTCTTAGTGCTACGGCTTCATTGCTTTCTCTGGGCACAGTTCTGTACAAAGGCAAATTTGCACTCTCCAGGCGCCACAGCTGCAACCGCCGCTCCAATGCCAGTGGCTCTTGTGCTGTTTTTTCTCGGTGTTCAAAGACCTTTCTTACTGTTGCTTCTGCTGCACTCATTCCCCTAGGCTTAGAGACATTTCCTAAACTCAACACCAATTCGTTCAACTCCCCCATAGCGCCCCCCTCCGATGCAGCGGTGCTCGCTGTGTCCGAGGCGCAACCAGCAGCAGCAGGAGTTGCAGCAGAGTCCAAACAGCTACTGCTGTTGCTGCGCACCACTCGCTGCTGCTGCAGCTGCAGTTCTTGCTGCAGCTGCTCCAGCAGCTGCTGCAGCTGCTCTTCTGTGTGTGGCACCCACCACATGCCCTGGGGCAACAGACTGAAATCAAAGGTAGAGCCACTCAGCACTTTCCCCTGTCGGTATAGCTCAGAGAGACGAGAAAGCAGCTTCTCTCTTTCAATTCCGACGTCACCTTTTGTTGATATCTTCTCCCGCAACAAAGTGCTCACCAACCACCTTACATTGATGTCTCCTGCTGCTGCTGCTGCACCTGCTGCTGCACCTTTTGCTGCAGTATTTGCAGCAACAGCAGGACACTGCCACCCGGGGTCTGCATAATGAAAAGTGTTGGCGGCTGTCTGCAGCGCTCGTGTCAATGGCGAGACGAGAAATGCATCAACACAGAACGGACGCAACAATTGTTTTTCTGTCTCCGGTGCTGCTGTTGCTGGCGCAGCGGCAGCAGCAGCTGCTGCCGATGCACGAGCTCTGTCCTCTGCCTCCAACTCCCTCACAGCACATAACAAACTTGACAGCTCAGCAGCAGCTGTCGCACACTGCACTAAGCCCTCTGGTGATAGCGGCACATCCTCTTCTCCCCAGTCTCGCCTAAACATATCTGTCACCCACACAAACAAACACAAACAAATATACATATCCTACACCCTGAAGCAGCAGCAGCAGCAACCCAGAAGCACCAACAGCTGCAACAAGAGCATAATCAGAATCAAGAACCCAACAAGAAGCAACAGCCGCAGCAGCACCAGCTAGAGCAGCAGCACAAAACCAGCAGCAGCAACAGTTCACCCTAGCGGAGAGGGGCCCTCTCCACTGTGAGATCTGCAAACAAATTGAAGTCCAATCACTTCACTATATTGGCATTATAATAGAACATCAATATTACTGCTATGCTTATTATATAAAATAATATTAGAATTATTTCTCTTGCTGCACACCTCGAAATCGGAGTTTAGTGAACGACTCCCGCCGCCATACATTGAAGGTGCTCTCTGCATGCCTCATCGCAATCAGCAGCTTCGTCTGCTGCTGCTGCTGCTGCTGCTGTCGCTGCACGTTCCAGCAATGCACTTTCCGCGCTAAGGCGGAGATGGTCTCGGGGTCTCCCATGCCCTTTGGGCCCCTAAGCCAATCGACGAAATAACTGAAAAATGAGCGACGCTGCTTCTCTTTCTCGGGCCTGCAGACCCCAAAGGGATGTACAGACACCGGTGAAGGAACAGCAGACGGCACAGAACGGCCCAAGGCTTTCATTTCATGCTCAACAGGATCACCTCCTTGCTGTGTGTGGTGGTGATGCTGCTGCTGGAGTTGCTGCTGTTGTTCGCCTTGATACAGATCTGCTTCTGCTCCTGTTGCAATCGTTGCTACTGCTGAAGCAACTTCAGCTGCAGTTTCTGCTGCTGGAGCCGCTGCTCCTACAGGAACTGCTGCTGCGACAGGAACTGCTGCTGCTACAGGAACTGCTGCTGCTGCTGAACTTTCTGCTGCCGAAAGCCGACTGTGTCGAGACGGTGAGACCTCTCTGGTATTGAAAGGCGTGGTACCAAATGCCAAAGACACCTCCCGAAACGGGTATGGTGTATTTGCTACCGAGTCTGCTGGCTGGGCCCGCTGCCCAACGCGGACCGCTTGGAGAAAACTGCTGCTGCCGCTTGAGGAGAGCCCCCTCCTGCTTGGGATGCCTCTCGTCCAGCTGTGTAAATGCTGAGGAGAAGACAGAGGCGCCAACAATAGTGGCAAAGCCAACAAACGAACTCCCGCTACACCTGCCCAGAGGGGCCTCCCCCAGCTGCTCCCGGTGAAGGCTGTAGAATTCGGCAGGGATGCAAAGATCATAAGTAAAAAAATTAAGAATAAGTGAAGAGAAGAAAGGCTGAAGATCCGCAGCGAAGAAATCGGCCGAACCACCACCGACCCACAAACGAGGCTGAGCAACTTCGATGACTCTCGGCCTCCAACGTGCCTGTTTTGGAGGGAAACGCCGCAAAAACCCAAGCCACTTCGCTTCTTCATTTCATTCTGAAAGGCGACAGAAGTCCCAAATGGTCCAAACGGATCCATAAGCCCCCGAAAACGCTCACCGCCAGCCGGGGAAACCTCTGAACAAGCTCACGAAACGGGAAGAACAGCGGCAAAGGACCTTTAATTCGCTGCCGTCTTCTGTTCCCCCTTGGAAAAACTTGAAATTGTCCGTATATTTACCTCTCCATCACATAAAAACGGAAATAGACAACAAATCGGAGAGCCGGGACAACTTCCTAACTCCTTCCTCATCGGTGCGCACAGGATGCTGTGCAGACGGGCACAGCATCCATACACCCCAAAGCAATCGTCGCAAACGAACAAGAGGAAGTTTTTGCTTGTCTACAGCTCCTCCTCTCTCGATTTATCCTTTTTGCATGTTACGACAACATTTTAAAAACAAAATGAACAGAGTCTAAGTATGATTAAGTACAGCAGCCCCCTGCTGAGACGCTGAAGTGAATTTCTACAATACACTGTACACCTCAATAAAGAAAATAGTGCCAAAGTGCACACACATACATAGACACTTGGACAGTATATGCTGTTTGATAACACCGTAGCTAGCTAGGCGCAACGGCCGGCTAAGGCCAGCTAGCACAGTTGAAAAAGATATAAATGTTGTTTTGCGTTTGCAACGAGAATATGCGACATTATCCGAAGACCATCGTGGACTGCAATCGAGCCAAACGGCCTCTGGTAAGAGTTGACTGACTGCTCATCAGGCGTCGAGGGGACGGCGGCCCAAGGGTCTGGGGGAGAAGAAGCGATGCTCTACTGGCTTGAACCAGCACTGTTGGAAAGCCCTATATGAAGACAAAACGAGCCACCTTCGTTGCATCTGCACACAGTGCAGACAATTGTCGGGCACCTACTTTGCCCATGATAGGCAGTCTGCACATCAGTAGGAATACGTGCACACAAAAGTCACAGAAACAAGGCTGCATATGCTCCTCCTTCTCTACCTCAAACAGCTCATGCCCGCGTGTGCATAATTTCCCCCAACAAAGGAAGGAATAGACAACAACAATGTAAAAGGGGAGAATGGCACTTGGGCGTGACATTTCGCTGTGCTGCCGCTGCCAGCTAGCAGTTCGTTGCGGCAGGCCCACGCAATTCTTTAGCCACTAATTGAGAACGGCGCCGTGTGCATGCACATAGGTTGGGAGTCCTTTGTACATGTAAGCTTCGAAACCCATAAAAAACGCAATAAACCACTTCCAACGGACAGCGTTAGGGAGCACAGGGGCAGGGGTCGAGTCCGGCCACTAAGCTTGGCCTCTGCACGAAAATACGGAAAGAATAGAAAGCTGTCAACAACAACGTCAATATATGTGTAATTAAAGAGAAGTATGCAGAGCAGAGCAGGGAAGTGATTAATGCCTTTGACCACATAGGCAAAAATATGAGAGCCTCTGGCCAATGACAGAGCAGCAATTATTAAATGCTGCGCTCCACATCCTCCCGCTTGCATCCGTTGTAGTTGAGTTGATGAGAGCACGTAGATGATCCTGAAGAATTGCTTATCAGAAGCGAACCTCAGACATTCACTCGGGTTGCCAGTCCCTTCGGCCACTGAAGAAAATATTCTCGTTGTCGCTGACCCCTGTGATATCCAGAATCTGAATCTCCCCCTGTTGCTCGTTCTCGCTATTGCATCGTTCTCCCTTTTGGGGGCGGGTGCAAGGAAGTTTAAACATAGTCAGCATAGTCAGGAATTCTCTGAACTGTTTTAGAAAACCAATACAAATAGTATGATGGCTTCTCCACGCTGGGGGCAAGTCAATGGGGTAAGACAACTCGTTAACCCAAGAACGATCGCCAAAAGGCCCTGGCTAATGCGCGCGTAACTTCTTCGGCTACTATCCCTCCTGCACACTTCGAAAGGAGTGTGAATCTACTAAGGCAAATTTTCCTGGGTTGGAAATGACTGCTGACAATTGTTTTTTGTCGTACTATCTTGCCTGGCGTGCTTCTGCTTCTCCCATGCATCATTGCGCTGCAAAAAGCTCTAAGTTGAACTCGGAACCAGCGAATGAACGAGGCTTGCCTCCAACCGCCAGCCGTAACGTCGGATCAGAAGGGGAGGTTTCGGTGTAGAACAGGGATAGCGGAGAGCAACGGGTCGAAGAGTGCATTGTTGTATTATAAACGCATTCCGCGCAAGGAAGGATTTTATGTCACTTGGATGAATTTTTCTGGGTAAAGAGAGCCAAGTGCTTAACCAGCATGCTGTTGGTACTGCCGGCTTGATCTGTTTCTCGCGGTTGACGCTGAGGGTCTTCCGATGCCTGCTACAAACACTGCGTTAGGAAGAATGTAAATCTTCCACGCACGATTAATAAATCCTTACTTGACTTCCTGTACTGTAACCGGACTTAAACGGGGGATGAAGTTGGCATACTAGCGGAGTCTGTCCACGAGGGTGTAGATGCTGCTGCAGCCTTGGATTGATGCTACACCGTCTACTATGAAGTCGAATAAAATATCTGTGCAGATCCTCTCGGAGACCGAAGGGAAAAGAGTCAACAAGGGTAGGAGTTTAAGAGTGTTCTCCAGCTTGAGCTGCTAGCATTCTGGGGAAATGAGAAGATATTTCTTTGCTGAGGGGCTCATCGTAAGACACCAAAAGGAACTAGGCATTGGCCCCACTGTTGTGTTGACTCCATCATGGGCAACTAAAGCATGATCGTGCACTTTGCGCAAACCTTCTGTGCAAGGCAACGCTGGGAACTATAACGGAAGAAATTTATCTTTCTTCTGGTGCTGCAAGATATCATCGCCGCCTGTGCTTTAATACATTCTGCATCCCCCGTTGTTGAGCATAGCAAGAATAACCGTCATGTGAATATCTAAGGAGTAAGAAAGACGCAGTTAATAAAATGAACAGGAAGTACCGCAGACAAGGGCTGTTAAAAGACTGCAGAGCCTGACTGGAAAGGCCCCCGGAGAGAACAGCAATAACGATTAAGTTGGTGATACCCGCTGCATGGGCTTGGATCGGAAGACTTGCTTGCGTGAGACAGCAAAGACACTGAACGTCTCTTCCACTTCCATAGATTTGAAAGCTCTTCTTTATGTAGGTCAATTTGATGCACTGACGACTTCTTTGCTACGCAATGGTTCCGTTACTTATGAGAACAGCACGCGGGCAAATGCAGGCTGGGAAAGCCCCCGAAAAGCCAATCAGTGCAGCTGTCAGCAGCGGCAGCAGAAGGAGGAGCAGCAGCAACGGGAGGAGGAGGAGGAGGAGCAGCAGCAAAAGCAGCAGCAGCATTTACTGACAGCAACTTGCGGCAGCTGCTGCTGCCATCGTACACAACAGCGACTTGCCTCTGGCGATAAAGTAATATTCCGTGACTTCCCCTTCAATTCGACAAGTTGAGCTTTGCAATTTATTACATTTTCGTATACCACGAATTAGGATTTCACAATACAAAATAAATCCTCTCTCTCTCTCTCTCTATATATATATATATATTTCGCACTCGCTTATTATTCTTTTATTTTCCTTTTATTCAGATTGGGTTCGGATCAGTCTGTACACCCCATTATACATTTCTGCTGTCTTCTGCCTTCCTCCTTCGATGTGCGCAGTACCAACATGCAAGCGCGTTGCTCGTTCCATTTAATTGCATTAAATGTTGCATTCAAATTAAGAGTTCTTGTCAACTTCAAAAAATAAACTTCAGCAGCAGCTGTAGCAGCAGCAGCCGCAAAACAATCGATCTATGCTTCGTTCGCTCTTCACCTAAAATATCCAGTAGATGAGGGGTAGAGAGAAGCAGGGTCTAAAGAAATATCGGGGGTTTCGTCTGCTGTAAAGTAAGCAGAAGAAATAAATAAATCATCTGCCCCTCCTCGAACCCTTTCCATACTGTCGTTTGTTGGATCTGTGAGGTGTACGTACACCCCAACACACACAAAGACAACGCACAAAATTTGATATAAAGATCTTCTTCTCCTTCTACTTCTTTCCTTGCAGTGTATCATAAGTCAACTGAAGAAGCGCGCACTTATGGGTAGCAAATTGCAGCAGCAGCAACAAAAGCAACAGCAATAAACTGCAGCAGCAGCAACATGAGCAGCAAACTGCACCAAGAGCATCAACCGCAACACCGACGACAGCGGCAGACAGCCAAACAAACAAACAAAGAAAGAGAGCAGATGCCTAAACAAACAAACACAAATAAATAAATAAATGAATAAGCACGTAAATATATAAATAAAGATCTATTTGCTTCCATACCTGAACCGCCTTTCAGACTCTGCTTTAAAACTTTACTAATAAAATGTCTGCGGCGAGCAATAAATGAAGGAGGCGGCCACATAAAAAGAAGAGATGCAGCTCCAGCTGTCTGTACACCTCCTCGTTGGGTTCTTGGTTGTGCTTTTAATACCTAAACAATTAAATAAACAAATAAACGCGAAAAAAAACAAAAACAAAGGAATCGCGACAAACAAAGTACACAAATGAAGACAAACAAAGCAAACAAATGAAGACAAACAAAAACAAAGAATTAAAAACCAACAAACAGACGAATTAGAGCTAAAAAACGAATACAGACAAACAAACAAAGAATGAAAAAACAAACAAACGAATAACGACAAACAAGCAAACGCATAGAAACTAACAAAAAAGAAGAAAAACAAACAAACGAATAAAACAACAAACAAACGAATAATGGCAAACAAACAAATAAATAAAAACAAACAAACAAACAAATACAAAAAATCAACCGACAAATAAAGACGAACGAAGTAAAACAAAAAAGAACAAAGCAAACAAATAACAAACATATGAACAAAGATAA